CCCCTCTTTTTAAATTATTTTTTAAAAACAAAACAGAGGATCCGAGAATTGGCAACCACTGGGGGATAGTATCTAAGAGACGACGAAGAGGAGAATGAGGAGGAGAGGTCGATGGTGGATGGTAGAAGTGAGGGACTGGGAAGCGAGAGTGGAACGTGCGTAACTCCTAAGGGGGGGCCATGGAAAAGCCGGACTTCGGCCACACCAACTGTGTGTGCCTTTTCCCTGGGTTCCTTCAACCCTCACCCACTCACCCCCTTCAACCCCCTCTGGACTACCCCACTTTCTACCACGAACTCTCTCTCCCATTCTCCATTCGTCTCTCTTCCTAACGAAAGAGAAATACGCGTGTTAGAGAGGGTGAGGATCACGAGAGGAAGAGGGTTGGGAAGGAGATGGCTGAGGCGAAGGAGGTCGACGGTTGAGGGTGTACACTTTCACCAGATCAATACTCGTATCTCCACCAGCCGGACCACTGGACATTGCGTTCCAAAACTCACCTCCAAACACCGATCACCGCCCTTTATCTCCAGATTTTTAAATAAAAATTTGCCCGCTAGTCAGTCACTCCCTTCTACCCCTGTCCAAATACACTAAGATAATTAAACCCTTCAAATATCTCTCCTGTACTATTCACTTCGGCTGGAAATATTTATCGAGAAGCTTTATACTCTCCAATTTTTTTAGGGTCAGCGACCTGAGGGCGTGTCCTGATTTTTTCTTTTTTGTCTTTTCAGTGGCTTTTGAATTTTGCCGTTGAGTAGTTATTTTCCAAGGAGCCAGTACTAGGGCATGAACCAGAGCGGAAAAGAATGACGATTATGACTTTTACACTGGAAAAAAAAATAGCCCAGTTAAACGGCACGAAAACAATTTAATTCGCTATCCACCGAGTGTCCTCTACTTTTATGAACTCAACCCCTGTTTCTTCGTTTATTTTGTGTTTTGCCAGTGGTTACGTGAGCTTTCTGCTTTACGTGTAAAATAAATGTGTTGACATAGCGATAAAAGCAGTTATGTAGTCATTGTCGTAATTGAAGAGGATGGTTTTGTTACTTTGAGGGTAATCTTCCGGCTCTGCCCATTTTTACAGGTGCACATTATAAGTTCTATTCAATTCGCGCATGGTCTTCCATTTTATAGCGAAAATCATCAGATTTGAATACTGAGGGATTATGGAGAGAGTTGGGAACCCCTGGACCGGTCAATTTCCCCTTTTTAGGGGTTGAAGTTGAGGAGAAAGAAGGGTGGATGAACACCTACAACGTTTGAGCACAGTTATATCTTATTTGGTGGATGGATCCTAGGGTTAAAATATCGGAGATGCTCCGATCAAAAATTCCTGGGGTTGATGAGAGGTTCCTTAATTTTTTTCCAATAACATTTCTACAATGTCTGGATTAATGACGAAAATGGGAATTCCTTTCCAGCAATCATTGAATTCATTTGTCAAGTTTTTTAACACTGCGAACACCCATTTTTGATTGCAATCCGTCTAGATGAATCGTTTAATTTTTTTCATAGGGATTTGGCTTTTTTAGTCTATTCTTTCGACCAGCAAATTTCAAGGTAACTGAGAATCGATTAACCTTCCACGGGAAACCTCCGAGGTCGAGTAGGAGGAACGTCTCAACTATACACGAGAGATTCCCTTGAAAGATCCGGGGGAAGAAGTTTCTTCCTTAAAGAGGATCCACCCGGGCTCCTTTGACCCGGTGCGTGTATTTAAGATACCTCGAAGAGTATTTCACTTTTCAGTCGTCGCAAGCTCTAATAGGGTCTTCCCTTTTTTTTCATCTCCAGCCGTTCGTTTTGTATGTTTTTCTTGCCTGATGGATATTGAATGAGCAATAAGATCTCGGAGATGGAGTCAACTTTTCCTTAGCGTTTTTTTCATTTTAAAAATAGAAAAGCTTCACGACAAATATATTTAAATCAAGCACTCGGGATTATAATTTGAGTGGACGAACGATTTTTTTTTTGTGAATTTATGGTGAGGCTTGACGGTTCATTCATATTCCATTATCACGAATACATTCTTCTGACAATTAATGAGTTTGAAATTTATGAAGTATATTGTAAACACATGAATGCCGGGTGAAGGGGTGATATCACGAAAGTTATGACGGGATTGTGCGCTTACCACCGATTGCGATGTACTGATATTTGCATGTCTGGCGCGAACAGAATAATTGCGCGTTGCACCTGCACATGACTATACATCTCAGAGCAATTACCTACTGACGTAGTTGAGGGGTCATTAATAACTTCAAACATGCATTTCGCTGATGTGCGTGATGAAAAATATTGGTTGGCATGAAAGTAACACGATGAGTTAACCTATCAATTTTCATAGGCTTATATTCAATTAGGGAAAATTGATTGATGTTTGAGGATTAAGGAATAGCCGAAGAGTTGATAGCGTTAAATTTGCAAAGTGTATGATATCATGAAAATTGGTGAAATAGTTGAGAACCACTGTTCACTTTCTCCCAGCAAGGAGAACCCTTTGGCATATCACCCCTTGGCTGAACCCAGGGCGATCTTACTCTCGCTCTCGTTCAAGCCCTCACTCTTTCCCCTGTATTCCTCACCCCTTAGATTTCACCTCCTTCAGTATCACTCCCTCCGAAAACCATCTCATTCCCTCTTCCACATTGGCAACAGGGTCCGCGCCCTATCTCGATCTCACTTTCATCTTTCTCCAGGGTTGGGGGCCTCCAACCATTCCTTCCTCTCCTTCATCGTATCACCCTGCCTTGCTTATTCTCCCCCGAACGAACCAAAGGCAAGTGAGAGTGGACCGTGGGTCCAGTATTGCTGCATCGACCTTCTCACCCCTTGCCTCATCTCCCCTTCTTTCACTTTTTCCTCCTTCTTTTTTCCCTCTGTATTCTCATCTTTTTTTCACTCCACTCCCTTAACCATTCGTCCGTCCCGGCTCTCCTCCCGACGATTGTGCTGGCCTCCACGTCACCGCACCCTAATCCCCCATCTCGAAAATACATCTAACCCTCCCCTAACGTCCACCTTCCACTCACCCTCAAACGTTATATCGATTGACCACTAGCTCGTCAGAGAGCGCCACCATTTTCACTGGACTTTGAATATTTCAATGATGATGATTTTTTAGAGTTCTTGTGCATCCTCTTAAAACGCTTACGATGTAACAATAATTGAGGAGGACTCTAGATGGTTTGACTTCATCCCTCGACCCAACCAGAATTTTCCCACCGCATCAACCATTAAATTCCTTCGAAAATTCATTCGTGAGATTAGCTCAGTCTTCGTTTTTCATAATTAGCACAAGTTGATGTTTAAAAAAAAATGCAGGGGGTGAGACGTCCTACACCCCAATACCAGTGTTAAAGGGTGAGCGCTAAATGTTCGCATGACTTGCTCCAATTCGTGGCAATTGCCGGAAATGCCTCGCTGTAACAAATCTGGGATTGCGGTGAGGGTAAAATACACATATTCCTACATGAGGTATAATCCCTCTAATTGTTTGAGCATCGAAATCGCGTGAATCAAATGCCGTGGGAACGTTTCCCTTTCTCATGATCCATTAAATTGATGCGCTCCATCATGAATTTACTGTAGACCAACATCACACCGATCAATAGGACCATAAGCTCTAATTTGTGAAGTCTTCCTTTTTATTTCTTCGACTTCTCGAAGACTTTCATCAAAATATTATCACTCTCATAATATATCAACCACTTGTAGCTTCGTCCCGTCAGAAATCCCATAAGCCATGTAGTACACGTGCACTCTATCAGTGATTTCGATCTGCCAATCTGGAGTGAATCAGTCGGGAGCAAAAAAAAAACAATTATCAGCGAAACACTCAATCGTATTATAAAATTTCCTTGCACCTCTAGTCTCGTTTTTCAATCTCGTGCAATTCACAATTTTCTGACACGTTTTTAATTTAGCAGGCGATAAAATTTGAGGGTATGTAACAGTAAAGTGACATTCTAAACAGGGATAGGTAAAAAATGGACGGGATGAGCAGCGATTTCGGGTGGAATTTCCAGCACAGTGTACCTTAAGGATCAACAAGAAATAGGGAAGTTACAGCGAATTAGAAATGCTGCACCCCATGACTAACAAAAATTGGGGTAAGCAATTGTGGGGGTGGGAAGCCTACCCCAACGATAAATATGTTTAAGGGTCGTTAACCCATATATCCGAATGCCAACCCTTCGGAGATTCACTCGGGTATATCGATACATTTCTTGCAGATATAAACGTCAAAGCCATAGGCTTTATTTAGGAGGGGTGATTCTATATAACCCCTCTTCTGTAACCCATGGCATGCCATACGGCTGGGAGTTTCCCTTCCTTGGAATTTTCAGGGAAAACCTTTGGGTTCAGTATAAATAGATATCACTGGAGCTTGCTTCATGGATTATTGAAAAATGATTAATGGTGCGATTAATTTTTGCTTTTTATTTTTGAATAACCATACATTCACATTAAAATAAGCATATAATAATATAATAATAAGAAAAACCAACGAAGATGGAGTTTTTTTTTATATCTCATCGATTTGAGAACAGCATCTCAGAAGTCGACGCACATGATATGTTGGACATATTGTTCATTGATGCGAAGACGCATTCAAGAATTTGTTTCCTTAAAGCGGGAGCAGAAGTATCTTCCGGAATATGCTGTAAGTGAGTTTGTATCAACAGAAGTAAATGATATATCGTATCAGTAGCGAAGAGTCAATACAGTTTATGTCGAAAAAAGTAAAATTTACAGGAGACTCGATAAACTTATTGTCATTTCTCCATTATGAATTTGTGCAAATTAATTAATGAATATCTTGAAATATTAAATCATTGTTTTTCTTCTTACCTTTCCTCTTAATTCTTACTCGAAAGTTTCATTTCATTTTTCATTTTTCATTTCATTAATTTGTTCGAAATAGTTTAGAATAAAAACTTGGCCCTTCTAGTTCGTTACAAAAATGTGACTACGTATGTTTCGGAACTTGAATCCATTTATTTGGCCGTTTTTTCGCATCACTAGTGAAGTTTTCACTTACTTTTTCTATTGGTTGATCGCCATCTTTTCTCTTGCAGAATACCTTGGGAAAAAGATCTGCAAAAGCATTTTTTCCATCCAAGCACATAACGAATTCTTCGCCTATTCCGTTTTGGTCGGCGTTTTGGCTATTTGCTAGTAAATATTGTCAAGAATTTGAGATACGCCTGTAATAATGAGCATGTTGAAATATTTCTACAACATATTTACCTGTAGTTACACACTCTTCGACAAGGTCATTCACACGGTCGAAAAGATTTTGATTTTTCACATGCAGGTACACTGAATCAAGTATCGCCGTTCTATTGAGTTTTCCACTTTTAACGTCGAACTATAATCGCATAGTAAATATGATTTTTACATATGATTTAATTGATATGCCGTATGATTTTCTCACCCAATCTAGTTCTTGCAGAATGCATGCTGTGAATTTTCCATGGGCGATCAAGCATTTCAGGACATTATCTTGAAAAGGCCCAAACATACAAGCGGTTGCTCTTTCGCTAACGATATTCTTTGGAAAAGCAACCTTGATTGAATAACACATCTGTAACCAGCAAGATATCATTCAATTATTCATTTATTGAATGGAGTTAATACAATCGATAATAACAGAAATTAAAAATATGAATGAACTTACGGGTTGCAATGAGAGAATTACAGCTGAGACGACATATATTAATTTTCTCATGATCGAATAGTACTTGAAATATTCCAACTACTTCGTGTTCAACTCTAGAAACTATTGTACTGTTACAGCGATCGCTCCGCTTCTATATAGCCGTATAAGTCGTCGTAATAACTGCGCAGCAATTATCGAGCCAATGAAATGTGCAAGATACAAAGTTTCTCAGTTGAAACCAAAGTAAAAAGTAATTCAAGGTAAAAAATTCGGTATGATAATATGTACACTTGAACACACAATATTTTTGTGTCTGATAAATTTGATGTAACTACTTCTATGAATCCATAAAATCGGAACAAAACAGACGTAGTTATTGGTATTATTGCCATCTGGCCAAATAAAGTCGGAGATCATTTTCGTCTACATCTGATACCTCGCGTAGGTGAAGGACTATCAGAGACCATGAAAATTATCGAAAGATAATTCTGTTGGTATTAATTAATTTTTGAGTAATTAAAACCGATCGTTTATACTCAGTGGGGTAAAGACACAGAAGAATTTTCTACTGAGAAAAAAAAGAAATGGGGCAAGAATATTACAATAAATAACAAATGCGTTCTTAGGAATTGGCTTTTTCCATAAATATACAGTCAGGCTATTTTTAACTTTTGACATTCTTCATACTCTTCTGCTTCCCATTGATCATAAATGAAATTACAAATTTCCGAGAGAACCGGATAGTTTTACGAGGTACATCCACGCCTGACTGGAACGATATCATCTTGCCATAAAATTTAGATCTCCAAGATTTTTTGCTTGGTTCCTGCGTTTTTTCTCGAAAGAAAAGAAGAAAATGAAGGATGGCATAAAGAGTTGGTAGTTTCGCCAAAGGTCGTGGGATTATCCGGGTCGCATCACCATAAAGATATCCCATAGTTTATTCGTTCTTGTCCCCGTTTGTGATTTTCATGACTGCTGGGGCGGATTTTTATCCTTCTGTTCAAATTCAATTAAAAAATTTGTGCAATCCTATCAAAATATTGCTATTTTCATTTGTCCACAATACTACATAAAATTACAGCAATTTTTTCGGAACCGGCTGAGTGATACGAATTTTTTTTACTGCTAGTGATCACGAGAATGAAAGATTCTGGTACTATGTAGAGAAAAAACTTTTATTCTCCCTAGGTCCTGCGTCAGTGCTATTCAGGACGATCTATAGTTCTTTCCTGATACTTTTTTTTTTCAAGTCTTTCTCAGTTGGAAAAGTTTTGAGGGGCCATGAAGATTGGGCCACGTGAATCGAACGGAGCGTCCGTTTCCACTCACCCCACGTTCTCAAGATTTTAAAATTCAATGAGCCAATTCGAGGTAGAATGATCTGTATGTGGCTCACGAAGGCTTGGACGTTGAAGGGCGGAATCACTGGTCTCTCTTTGGCTTTCTTTGTAGTAGTTAGCTCTTGGAGTCACCCTTCCTCTTGATTCGACGATTGCTCTCGAGATCAAAGCAAAACGCCTAGTCATCTCGATTCTCGTTGGAAATTTCTTTTTTATGGACTAATTGATTTTTTTTTAATAGTGGGTGATTCATTTCATCATATCACATTCTGAAAAAGGATTCCATCAAGTGCAAAGAACTACAAGCAATGAGCGATTATCGAGCGATTTCAGTGACCAAGATAAAACATTTTTTGTCTTATGAATATTTATAGGGGATTAATTATAAATCAATGGCTCTGATTTTCTACGACGCCCCTGATTTTGATGTCTATGATTTTCGAATTAGGAATGGAATCCGCTGAATAAGATCCCAGGACAAATGGATAATGGACCAATCATGGAATAAGAGATATTGCCATCGATTCAGTAAAGATTAGAGTTAATCTTTCACTGAGACAAATTGAACGTTTCAGTAAATATGAGCAATATCGAATCAATCATGTCGACAAATGTGATCTACACACGGATAACACCAATGAAGCTTAGCACCCCAATGTCCCCAGCTCTCTCCACTTCATAAACACAATAAGCCCGTTCGAAGAAAGAACATATTAAATATATATATACTGATATATTTCCACACAGGGGTGTGCCTAGAGAGTCCAGCCCTCATTCGAGTGCGTGTCCAATACGCTTGCGTCATAAACTACATGCGTGTCCTCAATGAATTTTCATTTCAATCATTCCTGCGGATGACAGGCTGGCGATCAGGATCCTGAGACAAATCGGTGGTATCTTATGGAGATGATAGATGCCTGATCACTCAGCATCACGTAAGTCCAAACTTTAATTTCGGATACGTGTCATATGGAATGTCTGATGCGCATACGGGCGTTCCTTGGAACGCACGCGCCCCTTTTCATTTAATACATTGGTATGTTTCCGCAGAGGTGGACATAATGAAATAATCTGGGAAAAAGCATGAGGCGATCTGAAGAATTTGCTGACAGCCAGACTCACGTCATCTCCACATTAAGGAAGATCTTGGATAATGATTCGTATCAATGCATGTATGAATTTAATTCACAATGGGCAAAGTATGAGTGGAAATGAGTATAAATCGTGACCAATGAATGAGCAATGAGAGATGAGTGTGACAGATTTTCGGCTTCAACTTTCGAGAGTTTCGATTCGATTCGATATAAAGGTCGACAGTTTTACGGCTCTCTTGTAAAATTTACTTTTTTCGACTTGAACCAATTTACCGTTTCCCTAATGAAATTAATACATTCCTATATAATTTTTCTGTCATGATTGACGTAACGTGTATAGTTACTGAACTAATTTGAAAAATAATATTAAAGTTTAAAATGAAAGAAGAATTATACAAATTGAAATTTTTTACTTGAATTGTTAGTGGCGGGTTTTTCTTGGAGAGTTCATTGCCGACACGAGGGGGAACCTGAATTCTGCTCATTTTCTTAAATTTTCTCGTTATCCTGACTAGCATATGCTGTAGAAATACACTGATTAGGTCGGTTAGATCCGTGCCAGGCTCGGCGTCTCACAACTCGGAATAAACGAATATGTGAGCATCATGCCTAGAAGTTGATGGCTAAAGAGAAAGAAAAGTTATAACACGATATGAAACTGGCAATTATCGCACCAAAGCCGCCACTTTTCTCTGTTCCAAATCTCAGCATATTGATCTACCTCGTCTATCATAATTTTACAAGTAACGAGTCAGACAGGTTTCGTTTTAGTAATAACTGCAACTCATTTCCGCATGAAATTTAAAGTAATTATTGTATTGTTATGCGAAATTATGCTGCCTTGGGCGCATTCTGTGCTTATCCCCGTATTTCGAATCGCTTGAAATTGATGTGAATTGTTTTTTCTTTTCTTTTTTCAAAAACTTGATGTTCAACTCTCCAATTACTGAGTGCAAAAAACTTGCAGTGGCATTTGTGGACACGAAAGTCTCCTGACATCGAGACGCGACTGCGATAATTATTATCATTATTTTGACAATTCAGTTGGCAAATTCACTCTCGTGTGCTTCGTCGTCTATATGCGATAGATTCCAGGTAATGACCGCTGACACGCGCACAGGATTTCGTGACAAGGAATTTTTGCTCCTAGGATGTCTGAGTGGTCAAAGAAATTTACAATCGTTTCCAAAAATCAATTTCAGAATTTCGTCGTCAATAATTACTTGAGGATGATGCTTTATTTTTTATTCCAGCTTCTTGAAACGTTCTGAATTTTGGAATTCAATTTTGGAAGTTCGGAACGGTGAGAAGGATTTTCTCCGTGCTTGAAACAAGAATTTGATATTTGGCTTGCGCATCAGTTTGTGGAGAATAGGTTGGAACTTGGCGAGAAGCTGAATTGGCATATGGAGATCTATCATCTTTTAGAGCTTTCTCAGATTGTCAAGGAAGAAAAAACAAAACGGGTAAATAAATCAATTGGAAGAAAAATTCGTGAGGAGTCACGAATGAAAGGATAAGCAATATTTTATGAACGTTCTCGCGCATGACAGTGTTTATCCTCAAGATTTATGGATACTAGGTGCAATATTCAGATTGCGTCACGTGCTACATTATACATAGTTTGTGCGAGTTGTACAGGATTCGATAATGTCGGTTTGGGGGTGCGCTTTGGCCGCGAGGGTTGCCCTGCACGCCAGTCCGTGTTTAGACGTGACTCGTGACGCAGCTGTTCCTATAAAATCACTGAGACAAGATACATATTCAGAGCAAAACATTTCATGTAAGAAGTACCGATAAATATTTAAGTCAAAATTTACCATAAGGTTTTTGTCGAAAACTTGTGGAACTGAAAAAACGCCGAGTCCCATAAGTTGCGAGGATAGTTTACTGTTGGTCTGGTGCTGTCGGACCAGATTAAATAAATTAAAGTCTATTAAGCCTCTGGCGTGGAGCGAAACAAAGGCAAAAACCACCACCCAAAAACATTGCTGGGGGCTCACGAGACAAATCGGTTGCGTAAGCGGATTTTTGGTTGACCTGAGCTCTCGCGTCACATCGCGCACTGAATAGGGAATGAAAAGAAATAAAAAAATTTTAAAAAAACGAAAAAAAAGAAAAAGGAACCATTGGATATAGGTGAACCCCAGCTGGTGCCCCCTTCATTCCCGGAAATAATTTGGCGCTAATTTATTCGATTTATTCGCTGGATGTTGTTGGATAGAGGGAAAAAAATGACAAAAATGTAGCGCTTTGTGTGTGACCCCCAGTCCGAGAGCAACCTTGATACTTTAACGATTGATTGGCAGGATTACCAATTTAGCCAATTACTGTTTCGCCCGGTTTCTTTCGTAGAATATGGAATTAAATTATATGGCCACTTTTGAGACTCCAGGATAAGGATGAGATCGTAACGAATCACCCGAGGCCGAAAACTATCGAATTCTGATTTACGGATTTACGGAGAAATTCGAGGTCGTATCCCCTCATTTAAAACTTTCAACTCTGGTTTGTGGCTTTTTTTTTTCAACTTTTTTCGCTGATTTTTGTCGGAGAGTTACTATTTCTTGGGGGAATCAAGATTGAAGCCATGATAACATCACGATATTTCTCTCTAGTGTGCACGAAGCATCATGTTTTTAGATTATTTTTTTATTTTGTTTTTTATTTTTGGGGTGGGAATTGTTTACCATAAACAATGGCACGAGAGATTTTCGAATGAGATTCCATTCGGAGATTCTTATTTTTTTCTACCGGAGGAAATAATATCCACCCCTTCATTTTCATTTCGAAGTCAACCACGGAAAGCAGATAATATATGTGATTTATGAACAATAAATTTATAACTGCCTGATCAACTTCTCGTTTTTGTTATATCGTCATCTTCAGGGAGAAGTACAAACAAAATGTAATAGTTCATTTTCCAGCAAGTTTTCTTCAACTTCTTCAGGGAAAATGAATAAATAGAAAGGAATCTTGGAGGCTTGTAGACAATTTTCTACTGCGAATCACTGAACTCATAATTTTCTTATCCTCCAATTGACAAACCACTCCTCGATTCAACTCGACTCGTCATCGTTTGTCGTACTTTCGTACGCTTCTCTCGTTCCGTCGTTCGATCATGCGTGCAGAACAAAAAGACCAAAAAATAAAACATTGGATAGGACAAGGGGAATGAGACGAAAAGTAAAAAAAATGGAAAGACGGCGAAACGTCAGTCGCCGAGAACTCGTTAAGGCGTTTGCACTCTTTGCATGCTTTTTTGGTTGGTCTCGCACCGTTCTCCATCTCGCATTAATGTAAACATATTCCGCCAAGAGATTCTTCTCTTTGTTTCTCCTCTTGTCGTTTGTTAATCATGAAGATTTCGCGGGGTGAAAAAATTTCCTATTAATGCTGGAAACGTTTTATTTTTTTCAGTTCATTTATATCAGCCTCGGGCGTCGAGCTCACAGATTTTTGTTGGAAAAATCAGTTTTTTCTAAAATTGTATTTTTTTATCAACCAGCAGGTGATTTCATTTCTATTCACGTCGTAGATGATAATAAAACCTTCAGACCCGTGTAAAATATGGAAGCAAATTGTTTTTTCACTTTGGATCTAGAATTTTTGGAAGGGAAAAAGTTTTTTTTTTAATCGAATTTTCCCAGGGACCAAGGGCTTTTTTCGCATATACTCGCTTCCTAGATAATGATAGACCACCGAGTATAGGAAAAATACGAAACCAAATATTTATTTTTCCGAATTATGAGAGCACCCCCTTTTCCAAAATTCGTTTTTCCTCAACCAACGACTGATATCACATATATTCACTCCATAGGTGTTAATAACACCCTAAAACTCAGAATATAAAAAAAAGAAATAAAAAAATTTGCACCCCCATTATGACGTGGATTGCTCCAGAAAGAGGGGCCAATATCTGACTTGGGACGCGTAGAGGCGCGGTGGTAGGTCCTGTAATATTACGTTGCCGCATTGGGATGTATGATGTATGTGAATGTGTATAGAGTTTATGTCCGAGGCCACAGAGGGGGGCCAGCCCCCGCGGCAATTACCTGACATCCTATATGACCCAAAACTAATCTATACCATACACCTCGGTGGCCATCCCCGACGAGCGAATAAAAATTCAAAATAGCTTGTTGAGAACCTGTCGGACTCGAGTGCACACTAAAACACTTTGCATTTGCAATATAAACAAAGCATAAATAACGATAACCCCCAAATATTGCAAGTCATAGCATTATGTAGTCGAAATATCTCGAAGACATGTGAGTCCTCATTATCAATATGACCGCCACATGTTCATATTGGACGCGGGAAATTTGAATGTGACACGACGATTTGCGTTGCGCGCAATCAGCCACGTAAGTTTATTGCCTGACGACTGATTGTCGTATTTTTTTGTTGTGAAAAAGGTTAAATAAAAGATTTCACTGTGGCTGCCTATCGAAGGAGACATGTCCTGGTGGAGGAGGTGCCGGGTCTGTACATTCGGCGTCTGACACTGGAGGATCCGCGAATATCTCGCGAACGCCTAGACCGCCCCGACTCAAGGTCACCATCACCAGTACGTCATATCTGTCATCCACGAAGTGCCGAGACTCGCCCTGGGCGAGGATCATCTAGGCAAGTCCCTCACATACAAATTAAATACCGAATTTCTACAAATTTTGTTTCATTCTTTTGGGAAGTTTCTGGAAGTGAGAACTAGAATTTCTCCTAATATGCAATTATTCAACCAACCCGCCCACGGACTCAATCATAAATTACAACACTGCCGGTCTGGTCAAAGGAAACTTATTGCCACATCTTACTTTTTCCCATGACAACTTAAATATCGAGTAGGCTAGATGTATTTAATTATGCATATAAATTCAGCATCATTTTAATAATTCACACTGTGACTTTTAGCTGAATTCCATTTGCTCTAAATCACCTTTAGCAATTAAATATTTATTATACATTAATTTATTATATTTAATACAATGTCGACAATTAAGAGGGATTCTAAATGCATTTCAGCGAAGTCATACAACGGTTTAAGTCGATTTTTATCGATTTTTATCTATCGAAAATGAATTTATCACTGAACCTCACTCTCAAAGGTATAACTCGATGGTGACTGACTCATGGACAAACTGACAAATTAAAGAAATTAATAAATTAATTGAATCCTCGAGGGAGGAACGACAAAAATTTTTTGGTTCTCCTACAAAATGGACGTGTTTCCATTTGAAGGATTTCACCGCTTGGGTCGGATTGATTTGTGGGTTATAATGAGATAATGTACTCGAAAAATGCCAAAGTTAAATTCGAAGGATTACAAAGCTTCCCATTCGGAAGCAAAATGCCCGCAAACAATTTTTCAGCAAACTACTTAAAGACCATCTCTTTAAACGTTCTCCTATATTCATCCCGATACCCGAGCCCCATAATTAAACGCACTAAAACTTAACCATCGAGGAGGACAAGCGGCTGTAGGATGACTTAATGAAGCCGCCACCTCGATCTACCCCATTTTCACTATCACCCCAAGTCCAATATTATCGCATTATTAAAGCAGAGCATTAAAATACGGGCTCATGTACAACACGCCGTTTTACTCCCATTATCTCCAGGGTTCTCACTTGTTCCCCTTTCATTTCAAACAGCTGTTTTATTGACATCTCCTACACTAATACGTGTTTTATTCCTCAGGTTTCATCCTCAACGACCACTTTTTTTTAATTCCATCTCTGTCTCCGCATGTTCACTCATTGTGTGTATCGCAAAATACTGTTAACTTCGCTCTAAGTGTATATTGACGAGTGCAGGAGGTGGTGAAGGAGTAAAGGAAGAAAAAAAAAAATTGTAACGGGCGAATTTTACGAGGAGTGAGATCGTTTCTCTCTTGAATTGATCGAGAAATACCGGGACTCCTTGGGAATTCAGACGTTTCCCTTCGTTTTTACTGTCGCTCGTTTTCACGCTCCTAGGGTGGAGCGCTGAAAACGAGAGGAAACTGAATGTCGAAGGAGAAACGGAAATGGAAAAGAGAAATGTTATCCTTTAAACGGGGTTAAAGCTGTTGTCTACTGGATTGAAACAATTGCGCCATTTTTCCTGCTGCCGTAATCGATTTTTCTGTCTTAACTTCGAGTAATGAGGAATTGTTGGATGGAAAAGGGTGAGACGATTAATCTTCAACGAGATTTTCTGGATGAGGAAAAATTGCAATGGAAATTATTTGTACAAAATAAATTGATAATTCGAATCGATTGTGCAAATTTTCAAGTTGGAGACTCGAGAATGAAATCGGATTACAGTAACAAGTAGTGAATTGCTTATCCATTACATATAGTTTAGGTATTTATGATTGTTAATTAGTATAGGTATTCGAATGGTCATATGAAAAATTATATTAATATACATAGCTATGGTAATTATCTCCTGATTTCATTAGTATAGCATGAATGAATGAGGCTAATTATAGATTGCATGCGGCAAGTCTCGCCCCTATTTACAGCATTAGACTGCGGCTCAAAATTTGTCTTATGACCTAGTGCCCTTCACTGTATTTTTGAAAAAATCAAGTCAAAGTCACTCTACCACCTGAACACAGAAAAACTGATATCAATGTCTACACATATGGAAGTAAATTGTTTGGCGATCTATCAACAATTGCAGGTGTATACTGCTTTGAATTAAAAATCGCTCGTTCATATAGTATGCTTGCGATAACTCATTTAAAACACCCTTTACTGATTACCGTGAAACCTTCAAGAAATAATCTATTACCAATACTAATAACTTCATTCAGAAACGAAGTCAAAGGTCTGATCAAAGGCAAGGAATATTTCACATTATACTTGGAAAAAAAAAGAAAACCATGGCTTCACGGCTTGAAAATTTCACGAGAAATTATTGTCTGGCTCAACAGAGCTAGAGCGAATCATTTTCATCTAGCTGAATCTCTTGCGAAGACAGGGTTAACCGAGCCACGAAAGTGCGACTGTGGCCGCTTATCGTCTTTCTTTTTACTTACCTCCCTTGGGAAATAAAAATACTCGGCCTCGTAACATAAAATAACATATGCCACACGGTCTGAAAAGTATTTTAGCAACATATTTTATCAGAATCCGCGGCTTCGGCGCGAATTTTGATAAAATACATTGCCAAAATACTTTTCCGCTCTCGTAGCATAAATGACTATTTTGAACTTCTTGATGCATTTTGACTCGATATAACATAAAAAATGGAAAATTCAAATCTATTCAGATGCAATAATGAGAATTGATATTCAGTGCTCAGTTTGTTAATTCGAATTTCAGTAGCTGCAGATTCTGGTTGGAACGAATAAAGAGGGAAAAACCCGCCCATTTGACGATAACTTCCTTGGAACTTCCGGATTGCCCTATTCCACTGGTGGACTCTCAAGCAAGTGCACGTTGGAGATGTGCAGAATCACCGAGGAATCCCGAGAAAGATGTCATTTTGGATGAGTTGATAGAGAGTGTCTCGAAGGCAGGGAGAGGCAGGAAGAACGTCAAGAGTGCTGATCAGAGTGTTTCTAAGGCGATTCAGAGAAGTAGACGACAGTTTATCGATTCTGCCGAGTGTCAGGGTACTCTTGGTAGCCTTGAAGCGTGCACGAAGAGTATTGCGGAAGGTATGTATTATTTCTCGTCAATTTCGTTTCTGAAAAACAGAACCGTTTGTTCAAACACAGGTGGAATTTGAATGCTCTCCGTTCCCTTTGGGATAATCTTACATATCGTAATCACACGTACCATCACAATCGTAATCTTCATATCAAACCGAATGTCCGCGGAATATCAACTCCAATGATTCTGGAGTGAAGAGATATACCCCAAGCAAGTTCATTTTCACTAAAAAATTTTCTAATATTTCAAAATTATTTATACGTAAACCTTAAAATTACCAATGAATGGTCATTGTCATCTAGTCATATTCTGCTCCCCACTCCAACCGATCCATCAAATCGGCAATATAAAATTGAAAGTTGACTCTCCTATTTCCAGACGCGTCGTAAACCTCGTCCCATAAAAAATGAAGGATTAAAATTTCAATACAATAATTGCCTACAATTCAGGATGAAAAAAAAAATCGAAAATTCAAGGCCATATCATATAAAATTTCAGGTCCACCTCGGGTGATAATCGCTAATTCAAGTGAATCTATCAAGGACTGCATCTGCTCAGAAATTACGGAGAATCTGAGGATCAACATTCGTGAAGAAACCGAGGTCAAGCAGCCGTCCCCACGAAGTCCAAGTCCGGAAGTGACTCACACCATAAGGATTGCTATGAAATACCTTGGTCAATCTCAACGTCAGCCAGAAGCAATCGGAAATGATGGAACAAGAACACCAAAAGACACTCCCAAAGACATGAAAAGTGATGACTCCAAGGAAGGAAATGAATGTGGTGTCAATGTAGCATTGGACTTTACCCTCAATTGCTGCAGTCTTCAAATTACATCTAGAGATATCACATTAAAACCTACCACTAATGATCGCAAGAATTCAACCTAATTTGTCCCATTATCTCTCAAAATACAAGTTCTCACTGACTCAACGAAAGAATTCGTATTCTCTACTTCTTGTCTTCAAGAAAAAAAAATGCTTCCAACTATCCAGCAATCAATTCCACTAATTGATATATACCAATAGCAAAACACGAGCTAAATCTATAATTTCACCTCCCACATTGCCAAAATCTTAAAAAAAAACATAATAAACAAAAAAATATTGCTGACTAGCGGAAGAACAATAAAATCCAATCACCGAATGTGATATATCACATATTCAGAGTCGACGAGAAATAATTGGCGAACAAATGAAATGAAGAAGAAGTGTGTTGCAAAAAAATTGATACAAAACAACTCGGCAATTTCGTCGAAATCCAGCGTCATCCTTGTATTATACATACAGCGAGTGTGTGGGTCGCCTATTAATTAACTCGACTAATAAATCGCACTGGGTCCCGAGGACCAGTTGTATAGAGAGAAATAGCCCACGTGAATATCCGTTAGGCCTATCACGATCCACCGGCAAAATATCGGTCCAATTTTATTCAACCGCTGCGTCTCACGGCTGATTAATTATTAACCCTTCACGCATATTTCATCATTTTTTTCAATCACTCTCACGTACTCGAGGAGCATCCCCCATTTTTTAATCGATTCTGCAGTATTCAATCTGTCTAAACGATTTTATTGGGGAAAAAGTATTGTGCGGATTTTTTCAATGAAAAAATTTTAATTCCCCGCCGGACTATTATTTTCCCGCCATTGGAACGCATCTCTACAGCTTTTCGCTCGGTTTCTTTATTCTCTGTCCTTCTTGATCCTAGTTTACAGGTTCCTCCTCTCGCGTTCTAAATCCACCGTTTCAGATGTTTATTTTTTATTTTTAGCTTTATACTCTTCGTCGGACTATCCTCTCTCTTTGGTTTTAAGGGCGAAAAATGGTTCAACGTCGTTGCAAATGATTTTGATCCACTGGTGTTCCACAGCTGTCTTCGTCTCCCTATCCACCTGATGTATCTCCCGTCCTCTCATTCTTCTTTTCTTCATTTATTGTACGAAATGGTCTTTCTTTTTGGGTTTGCTGCATACGTTTTTTTTACGGCTCTCGGAGTGGTAATCCTTTTTCATCGTCTCGATCGATTAACGCGTTTACTCGATGACGGTGTGAGAAATGCGATAATGAAGCATCCTGTGGACCATGAAAAGATAATGTCCAGACCGACAATGGAGGTGAATTGAATTTTTTTAAGGGTGTTAAGAGGATGGAGACTGAGGGGTGGGGGTTCTTTTAAGAGATGATAAGGAATTATTCGATTGATGACTCAAGACTATTTTTTATATTCCTAAAGATGAATTCTAATCATCCGTTCTACATTTCAGGAATTATTATAATTTACAGCATTTTTTATTTCGTCCTTCTTGCTTGATGAATCTCATATATTTTATAGTCATTCGAAAATCTATTAGATAAGCTTCGAAATTAAAGATGATTCATCCAATTCTGACCATTTTTTCTTGATTATACATCATTTCAAAGAACATTATATGCTCTTCAAAATGGTATATGATAAATGTCATCGAATTCCATTTTCGATCAAGCTAATGGCTTCTGTTTTGAAACTCATATCACACTTCAAAATTCTATCTTTTCATTAAAAATAAAACGAACGTTTAAACTCGATTAATATGACTCTATTATACACATATTTGATTTTGCCTATAATATCGAAAATCCCTGGAACTATTTCCTATTTATTTCTATACTTTTGAAAAATACAGGAAGAACTGGAAATTAGTGATTGAAATTGCGATCTTTTTGAACTGGCGGAAGAGAAAAGTAAAAAGTCGTTCTGTCGGCAAGCGTTTGTCCTCGCGATATGACGTCATATTTCGCGCACACATGTTCAAAGCGGTGGCTCTTCTAAGAATAATTTGATTATGCGGTGGGAGAGCGACGAAGAATTCACAGGAGCCCGCTTGTTAGACGGGGCCGACCCCCTCTTCAATCCCTTTTTTTTTTTATTGATTCTTCAATCCCTTCCACGGAGTTTCCTACGGTATAACCAATGCCTGTATATGTGCTACAGGCAAGAAAGTCTGGATCGTGTTTGGCGGAGTGGAGAGAATATTCGGTAGTCGTTTTTTCCTTGGATTGAAAGACCAGATATATCGGACCGGATTGGACCACTGAAAATAGATATTGAACAAATGAATGGGCAATGGAGGAATCGAGTTGCCCAAAGCCTCGGGAATTTAATGGGGGTGGCACTGGGTGGTTGGAGAAATTCTTAATGAATTTTTTTCACCAATTTGGTAGACCCATTCTTAACAGTTAAATTTTTATGACCCGACACGTGATAATAAAAATCTGCAAAATGACACGTATTTCACGTGATTTGAGTCCGGTGGTATTAATGTTATGATCTATATAATTAAATTTATTGCTGTAATTTTTTTTCATGTCTGACCACCACTGGTCGTCCCTCAAAAATCAGCGCATAATTGGTGAGGTTTAATTTTAATTAAATCACGTTAAAAATTATATGAGCATTTAAATTTGAAAAACCATTTCTGGAGATTGATTTTTTATTGATTTATGTAACCGAGCGCCATTAATTGTCAAAGACATGACTGAGTAGTTGAGGGTAATTGAAGAGAAGATAGAAAAAAAACATAGTTTTTTACTCATTGTTCTACACGAGAGATTTTCTTGAAAAATTCATGTAATCCCCATAATTCTGTAGAACGTGCCAGATCCATCATCCACGTATTCCATGGTACACCCCACCCAGCGATTTCTTAGCGATTAATTTCATCCCATTGGATATCATCCTGATGAGAATATAATCTTGAATGTGCGTGGTCTCACTCGTTTTAGATAATGGCCCTTGATTTTTTTTTATTCCAGAGACACAAATGTGCACATAACTGCTTTTCCGCCAGTTTCAATTACACCCGACATCATGAGATTATTACGAATCGATTTGAACAAGTGCACAATTTTTTTTCTCTATATTCTATAAAGCGTAACGAACTAAATTCACTGAAGCTTTTCACCCACGAAAAGTTGAATTGAGTTTCAGTGAATGGTGAAGTGCACCTTTTAAGGTTTATAGGGATGGGGGAAGGGGGTCTGGTGGACCCCAGATAACAGGTTTCAAATTGCGACAACGTATACTTGGGAGCAATGTACTCGCTATATGCTCAGGGCGAAATTACATCAATTGACATACAATTATACTCCGACGTCGCCGACTATCAAGTCTGACAATGGGGGAGACCCTGGGCCACACAGGAAGGCTTCTATCACGGATCATTTAGTCTCATTAGAATTTTTATTAATAATTTTGAGGGCTAATTGTGCGTTTGGTAAATTATAATTGTCTGTCTGAGTCTGCTGACGGGTTCAGATAATTCTTAGAGGAATTAATCATCGGAATTGAGGTTGAAAAACGAATTCATTCCAGAATTCATAAATAAATTCAAGGAAAAATCAATCTCAATTATAAAAAGATGGAAAGAAAAAGGCGCTTAATAGAAAAAAAAACATTTCTCAAATCTGGAAAAATTTACGTCAGACATTTTTTTTACCGCATCAATTTGATTATTTTTGATTGGCGAGATTTACTCTTCAAGTCTCTCTTCAAGTCCCAGTGATAATTTTATAAAAACGATTATGGTAGAATGGACTGATGTAAAATTCGTCATGTCTACGCGAAAGTGAGTGCAATCAAAGTACTTACAAGCGCAGTGCACCCCCAAGAGCTTTTCGATAATACCACCGACCCCTCGTTTTTAAAGTGTACAACAGGCGGGTTTATAAAAAGGAAGAGAAGGAAAAAAGAAAGAAGGGAAACAAGAGGAGAGCAGGAGAGATGGTGAAGACGAGAGGAAGAGCAGCCGAAAAACCGACGCCTACGATTGGCCGTCACTAGACGATCCGTTGGAATGCAGTTTTCGAGGTTGCACCAGGGCGAGGAGCGTTGGCTTGTTGAGATAAAAGGAGAAGAAGATGGGAACCAGTGTATTCCTACACGAAAACCGACCCGGTACCTTGGGAATCGATTCTTCGTGATTCCACACCGATAACGACTCTCCCTCGACGTGCTGTTTCCATTCTGTTCTTCGTCGCCTTCAGACATTGCTAAATGTTCCAAAATTGCCTGAAAAAAAGAAAAAACAGTGAGACCTTATTATTTTTTTCATAAATGAAGTTCAATGTCTCTTCTAGATATTACGGTGAATGTGTACTTTACCAACGTCTATGAAATTTACTTGAGAATTTTCTTTTCTACATAATCGGTACGATCTTGATGCTTTTTGAATTTATATTGCTTCTCCTCTGCAAAATAAACGAAAATTACTCATTAATTTTATGGAGAATTTCTATTTCTTTAATCCATCTATTTCATTAAGTTAAAAAAAATTAAACTTGCACCCGTTCTTCATAAAGTGTTTCATCATCAAAACGATAAAATATTCAAATAAAAATCATAACTTCCGTTTATCGGCATTGAAATCTCCAATCCAGGTTAGCGTCAATTGTTTTTACAATGATAATTATACTCTTGCAATTGTCACATATCTAACATTATGTAAATAGTAAAAGTCGTAATGAAAATAGTGGAAGAGCAAGTAAAAATAAATGTCTATTAATGAATGAATTGGAAGGGTGCAAAATAACGGGTAATTCCCCAAGTTTCACCTCAACAACTTTGGTATATATATAATCTGACCCATATACCCGTTGGGTCTTCTCTAAGTGAGGGTCTATCGGTTGCATGGGGGGTATATAATACAAGTAGCGGTAACACCCAAAGGGGACGACGTAAGAGAGAGATGAGAAGAAGAAGGCGCATTCTATACCCACAGAATGGCAGACAAACAAAATATAAACGCGAGTTTACAAGGAAAGATCCACGAATGGAAGGAGGAGGACAGTGGGAATTTCTGAGGGTCTTCGGTTTGCCCTTTCCCATCCCAGAAAGGTGCAGAAATGAGGAG